CCTTCGATGGTATGATTGCCGTAGCTTCGATCAAAATATCAGGGGAGGGCGGATGATCTTGTTTGGGGACTACTCACCAAAAATAAAGCTCAAAAATAAAAAAGAACAAAAATAAAAGGAGACGCCAACGCGTACTGCAGTTAGCCGGTTGACATAGGGCGTTAGAATGAACAGTTTCCTCACCGTCTATGGAGCGTGTGATGTGTGAGCCTTGGTATTACCACATTCGAAAATGGATAAAGGACAGAAGCACCCCAAAGTACAATTTGAACAAATAATATACTTTTAATATGAAAGAAAAAAATCAACCTGGTACCAGTTGAAGAACAATTTTGACTAGAAGATAGAGATTAGATCTAAAAATAACATTGAAGAATTCCTTTCCATCTTTGTTGTTTGCCTATTTTATCAGATTCCCACCAAGGAGGTCGACATGTCGACCCAACCGCATCACATCCCTAAACCTTCGCGCCATTGATAAACAGTAGATTACTTTTGAAACAAACCAGATCTATTCTGAATTACGCGATACGGCATCGTCACCTCAGTTAGCCCCTAGAAAGCCTGCTGGTGACCCTTCATTAAGAGTCATTCTGTCGGTGCTTCGAGCCCTTGTGGTACTTCACCAAGACCGCTTTCCGACGCAGCAACGCCTATTCCTCTACGGGAGCAAAGATTACTCCCACTGATACACCAAAACCATTTTTGCCGCGAATCGGGCACGAGCTTAAATGAGATCTCTATAGACAAAAACCTACTTGTTTATGCAAAGTGGGCAGCAAACCGACAGTTCCTCTTCTGCGAGCATTATGTGCACGAGCAGCCTGCAATTCCGCAGCCATTTCCTGCGACTGTTTAGCAAAATTACCTCGAAGTTGAGCTAGTTGGCGCTGAAATTTGTGGTTGCACAGAATATTTAGACAACATAAATCATGGAATAGTACCTGCAATGCCTTGCAGCCTTTCTCCAGTCGTTCCACCTTCTTGTTGCTTTCCTCTAACTCCTGTTCCTTCGACTCCGCTTGCTTCTCCGCCTTGCGCAGCCGTACCCGTAGATTTGAAATTTGTTGATCTTTTTGAGATATAGTTTTCATCAACTCGTCTACCTGGGAAATTGTGTTCGAAAACGAGCGCATTGAGTGTGAAAGCAGTGCCCATTCACCTGCTCGGCAACAGCCTTGTCCCTTTCAGCACCATCCTTGTTGGCGATTCTCTTTTCCCGTTCTAACTGTCGACGCATACGCTGCATCCTTTCTTTTTCTGTCTCCTTCTCAGCTTCGAATTCACGAACATCGTCACGGAATTTCTCGTACGCTCTTTCTAGCTGCAAAACATGCAAGTAAATAGAAGTTGATCCCAAATGAAACATCCGGAGTTTTTGATCACGATTAGAAAGGTTTGCGTAAGAAATTGAGAGCTCTCTTCAGAAAAAGTAGGGAAAAGGAGGATACGAGCATTCAAATGGAAAAGTCTTCACGATTTATGCATCATAATGGGNTCACGAACATCGTCACGGAATTTCTCGTACGCTCTTTCTAGCTGCAAAACATGCCAGTAAATAGAAGTTGATCCCAAGAGAAACATCCGGAGTTTTTGATCACTTAGAAAGGTTTGCGGAAGAAATTGAGAGCTGTCTCAAGAAAAAGTAGGGAAAAGGAGGATACGAGCATTCAAATGGAAAAGTCTTCACGATTTATGCATCATAATGGGTGGCGTTTGTGAAAGAAACTGTCAGACTGACAGGCAACTGGAGACCTGCAGAGGACCAGAATTATGGGGAATTTGGATGTTCTGCGATCAGAACGTAAGCAGTACGGTTGCTCAGGAGGGATGGCAAAGTTCATTCTAGTTGTGGAAGGTAAACGTGGCTTCTAACCTCTCGTTGAATGTGGTGGTAAACACAAGGTGGAAAAGGCAAATTGATTATAAATGCTACTCTATACTGCTACGGAGTGACATGCTATGAGTAAAAACTATGCTTTAGAGAAAAGGCAACACACACTATATAGATAAGCAAGCCCAAAATAGGTAATTATCTAAATAACCTACTTCTTTAGCCCTCATTCGTTGTTCCATATCAGCAAGATCAAGATGAGCAATGGCATTGCGCAACTGTTCCACTAACTTCCTTTCAACATCGGTGTAAAGCGGCTTATCACGAGCAGCACGGATGGCTTCGGGAGGCGGAGTTCCATCTGAGGACGGTGTCATGGATGGCGCTCTCAGTAGATGCCGGATATTGTGGTCTTTTCTGATCTGAACAACTCAGGAACCTATCATTGCTTCTCCTCAATCGCACATTCAGGTGAGACAAACTTCAGTTTTATTTAACTCATCTTTTAGGGCAAAAATTCAGTGCGACCAGCACGGTAACATGGATGAATTCTCCATGCAGATGCACTCTATGTCCTTAGAAGTTCCTTGATATTCTGACTTTCCAAATGGGAAAACAGGGAAATACAAGCTGCAAGCGCCTACTGTCGAAATAAAGCAGAGGTATCTTTCGAAAAAAATGTTAGAAGAGTCATACTACTGATTATGAAAAACCGAGATATCATCAATTTCTATGCTACAGTTCAAAAATTTCTGATAGCCATATCAAGAAAAAAGGTGTTCGCTTTTGGCTATTCGCTTTTGGCTATGCGCTCAGTCACTCTTCCTATCACACAGCTCATTGTCGAACACAGACTAAGAGAGGTTTTCTTCACATCTGACCTCATAAAACACATTACGATTTTCTAAAAAATCCGCTCTGTTAAAAGAACACCCGAGAATTCATCTCGACGACAAAACTTGCACCCATCGAGGGAAACAATCGTCTTTCACTGATTCATTCGAAACTTGATCCAGCACCAACCTGCTCGTGTCGAGGATGAAGAGGTACATTACTTTGAGCAACGAAACGCGGCATGTAGTTTTCTTGAGGCTGTGGAATCTGACGCCTACCATTACCACTACCTTCATTTGACTCGGGAGAGTCAGCCACCTAAGAAATAAATTCATTTAATCAATATAATGATATTGATTGAGAAAAAATAAGCCACTTTAGTCGCTTATAAAAGCTCACATTGGTTACGTCACCAAGAATAGAAGTCTCCAAAGCAGGAACAGGTTGTGGTAATTCAGGAGAATTCAGTTCCGATCCCGGCTGGGGAGTACTCGCGAGCATCGGCGATGGTGACGCTACTGCTGGGCCGGAGAAGGAGTAATTCTGGAAAGCGTTGAAATGGAGGACATACCGCTATACCAATACTATTATAACATAAAAAAATGTCAAGGTCACAATCCGAAGCAGGTAAGGGTAAGGTCTGTCAAAGATGTGTAGCAGTATTGTTTCTAGGGTAGCGAAAAATTGACGCTAGTTCGAATGAATATAATGCCCCTAAACCAACACATTCGTGATAGAAATCATAAATTGTGATGACAAACACTCGAAAGATGGGAGAAATGCTAGAAGAAAGTCTTTCTTCTTCCTACATCAAATGTACGTTGGAAACTTCACCTTTTTTCGGGCCCACTGTTGAATAGGAAGAACTCTTCTTTTACGAAGATCTATGTTTTCCTGAGCGATAGATGACGAGGTATGAGATAGACCCTGACTTGTCGAAGAAGATGTAGAAGGGCTCTCTGCAATCACGCTCGCATCACTCTCGAAAAATTATGAAATTTTCCGCTACACTTTATTTACTTACTTCTAAAGCAACCCAATATTTCATTTAAGCAGTTGTTGAAGTTTGATCATTGCCCAACCCACCTCAGTGCAGGTTCGCCCGCTGCGGAAACTTGATCAACCATCATTTACCTTCCCTAATCATTTTCCCAGCATTCTAGAATGTTTTCGGAGTTATGCATTCTTGACAGTGCCTTACCCACCTCAGAGCTAACTCCGCCTCCGACAATGACTTGACCACATCCCCTCTATAGACTCCACCCACTTCTTTCTCGCGTTCCAGAACATTTTAATATATATATATATATATATATATATATATATATATATATATATTATTGAAAAGTATCTTCCATTTGCACGGACGCCCCGCCCATCGTGGGCGGAGCTTCGTTGGGCTCACGCGTTCCCAGCACTCATGAAACCTTGCTCACTCCTTTTATCTTTTCTGGCCTCTATGCCCTCGTGGAATCGAGTTATGAACCTACTTGGAAGGGTGTGAGTCTCCACTGCAAGAACGCTCGGCCCATTGCCAGCGAGTCTCCTTCTTTTCACTTGTTGACCCATCCCTCACCTTTGCTAATTTTTCCCGGCGTATGGGCTGTTCCTAATATAGAGGCTTTGTTATGACACCACCTTCTCCCATGCACGTCTCTTGTGGGAGCTTTGCTGGACTCACATGTGCTCTGATGTTCTCGCCCCAAGCTCAATCCATCCGAAATGTGACTCGACTTCTCCAGATGCTTCTTCAGGTAATATCGGATTTTGTACAAACAAAAATGGCAACATGGCAAAAAAACACAAACAGACAGAAGCGAACGCGTAGTATATATTGGGTTGTCCGAAGAGTTTCCGCCGATTTTTGATTCATCTTTGAGTGAAAATTCCTAGAAGAAGCAATCTGTTGATTAAACGATATATCCTCCATTCTGTTCAGTACGGATTCGCTATATTCCTGTGAGCCACAGTATCCCATTTTCATAGAAGGTTAGAGACCTAAAATCGAAAAACCCTCTTAGGTGGTTTCTGCAGTCCTCCAGCGGACTGAACGATTTTCCATTCAAAGTATTCTGCAGAAACCTAAACAAGTAGTATTCTGATGGTGCTATCTCCGTACTATATGGGAGGCGTGACAAGTCATCTCATCCAGGCTCCAGCATTTTTTGACGAGTGGTTAAAAATACGTGTGGTCTGAAGGCAACCTGTTGGAAGACAACATTCTCACGATTGGCCAGTTCGGGTCACTTCTGATCTATCGCTGCCTCGGAATTTTCTAGCTAACTATAGTACCTTTCTGGAGCCATCGTTTGATTATGCGACAACAGCTCATGATAAGTGATTTCCCTGGAAACCCATCAGCAACTCGGCATAGTCTTCCGTGCCTGGATTTTGACTTTTGCAGCGGTTTGTGACGGCTCACTAGGAGGCTCCACGATCGTTTCCGCTCGTCGTTGTTGTACACGATCCACTTTCGCTCTCCGTACGCATACGTTTTAAAAACAGCTCATTTTTATCTCGTTTGAGCAAGGAGTCACACACGGAGGCTATATTGCGCTCGCACATTTTGTGAGATATCCAAACATCAAGGCGCTTTACAAAATCAAGTTCCTGCAGATGATCATGGATGGTTGATTTCGAAACATCAAACCCTTGTCCTACT